TCATTGTTTCTTTTTTTACCTTACAGGCTAGACAATGTTTCAAATTTGAAATAAATCAATGAAAGCTGTAATATCATTATGCTTCTTTTTTTTTTAGAAACAACAGCAAACAACAGAAGTAGAAAAGTTGTACTCCATCTATTCCTATTAAAGCTTCATTCACTGAAAAATAATAATTCCTCTGCGTTATAGATTCAATATCAGTGCAATGGGTGCAATTCAATACTTCGGCTCCAGACGTCCCGCCCCCTCCACAGATGCTCCGCTTCACCTCTCCCTAATTGTAGCTGACTGCAGACAGGAGGAAGTTGGTTTGTTTTTATAACTGAAATTGTGGAAAACAACTCGTGAAGTTTGACCCTCTAGAGGAGCGAGGTGCGCGAGAACGCTGGGACCCTTTTACCACCTGGATCTCCGCTCTTTTTGGCCCTCATGTCCCTCCGTCGTCGGACTAAACTCGCCCCCACTTCCTCGCCGCCTCGGCCGTATCTAGACCCACAGCGTGTAGCTGAGACCACGCTTCAATACTGAGCATAAAACAAAAATGTCTGCATCAAGCTCACTGCAACACACTGCTGCAAGAGTATAACCAGGAAGAACCCATCTACCTCTAAATCACTCATTCAGCCTTCTGGAAACTCAATAGCTCGTTATTATTAATCAACACAGTTAAGGAACAGGTCAAATTATGGACGACCTATTATTGGTCTGAGGCCAAAAGAGAAAAACAATATTGTTAAACGTTTTAAATTCTAGATTGGTCAGTATTTTAGGAAAGTTAGTGGTGATATTGCTAAAAATAAAGGAGCCCAAAGGTCAGTGTGATCACCAGGATCACTCAGTTATGCCCAAACCTCCCTAAGTCATTATCAGCAGAGGAGAACCAGGAGCTTTGGAACCTAGAAGCTGAATTAGATGACCTGTTAAACAAAAAGCCATGGAGGCCTTTGTTAGATCGAGAACAAGCTGGCTGGAAAAGGCTGAACAACATTCACATTATTTTATTAATCTTGAGAGACATCATTCAAAATGAACATCATAAACAGTGTTAATTATGGTTGATGATTATCGATCTCTAGCTTCTTATTGTAGTGATTTTACCAAAAGTTGAACAGCTCCAAATTCTGTCAGAGAACAGCTGATAACTTTATGAAAGCCTTAACGGTTAAAAAGATTTCTAAAAGGTAAATGGAACTATGTGACCTTGACTCTAAAATCTGGTAAAGAAGAACCATTTTTAGATCATTGGAGCCCAACTTCTTTACTAAACAATGATTATAAGATGTTTGCTACCATATCAGCCAAAAGATTAAAAATGGAACTGGATTCAATAATGAGTGAGACTCAGTCTGACAGTCAGACACATAACCAACAATATCAGGCTAATATCACATATCCTGGACTACCCAGGAATGGTCTGTGAAAATGGTTTTATATTATTTTTATACTTTTACAAGGATTTTGATTCAGTGGAGCATCAATTCATTTTACAATCTTTGAAAAAGTTTGGCTTTGGCAGCTAAATTTACTGAGCTAGAGTTCAATTAAACTAGTAGGTGGTACATCGCCAAGGTTCAGCTTATCAAGAGGCATTGGGTAAGGATGTCCTGCCTCCTCTTATCTTTTTCTTTTACTATGAACCGTCTATGACCCACTAACACCCACTAAAAACCCCACTCAGACCAACTATGAACCCAC